AGGCCTTCTCGGTTCTTGCGTGGCAGGTGCAAGCGGTCGCTGACATAAGTGCGCGCACGACTCGGCAAGCCAAGGAGGCATTGGATTGCCTCATGCGCAAAGCAGCGCGTGGAACTGGATCTTCGTCAATGCTGCTGCTCTTGACTGGCGCGAGCTCCGTCGACGAGTCGAATTAAGCCCATTTCACACAAAGCCAGCGCCTGAAAATTGCAAGCCTGCGTGTCTGCTCCTGCATGCAGGCCTCCTCGGCTGCTGCGTGGCAGGTGCAACAAGCGGCCACAGCGGTCGGTGACATAAGCGCACGTGGAACTCGGCAGGCCCGGTAAGCCTGGGATTGCCTCATGGGTGAAGCAGCGCAGGGAGCTGCGCAATGCTAGAAAGCAGGGGTAGGGTTCTAGATTGGAGCAGAATGATCGAAGATGCATCTGAAGGCAACTCTACTCGAAGTGATATTGAGGAAATACCTTGCACAACGATGCACGCACACACGATGCTCGTGTACTCACAACCTTGAGTGCGTTGTTGCTTGCCGAGGGGCCTGCCCCCTTGCCACCGGCCGCTGCCCGTGTTGCACAACTTGCCCTCCGTCATGGTGGTCTTGGCTTGCGCAGTGCTGCTTTGCACGCGCCTGCAGCGTTCTGGGCGTCCTGGGCTGACGCAGTCGCCGTCCTTCGTGTACGGGACGCCGCGCTTGCTACTTCCTTGGTGCAAGCCCTGGACGATGGCCGTGGCGTTGACTGGTCGCCTGTGCAGGACCTAGTACAAGCTTCCGACGCCCTTGCTGAGGCTGGCTTTGCGGTCCCACGGTGGGCCGACTTGCCCCAGCCTGGCCCGGCGCCCGCCGCTGACGATGCCGAGCCTGATGTCCCCTACCGCGGCTGGCAGCGCTCTGCATCCCGCGCCCTCGACGATCATGCCTCGGTCGCGCACCGCCGCGCCGTCGGGCCTGCTGAACTCGCACTCCTCGACTCACAATCCGGCCCCTTCGCCGCCAGGTTGCTCACTGTCCGACCTGTTGCTCCTGAGCTCGCCCTCGACTCTGCGCTCTTCCGGGTCCTACTCCTCCGTCGCTTGCGGCTCCCTTTGCCACTTGCACCTGCGCGATGCCGCTGTGGGCGTCCGCAGGATGCCCTGGGTGACCACATCGCTGCCTGTCCTCGGTCTGGCGTTCTCAGGGCACGAGGTGGACCGCTCGAACGTGCAGCGGCTCGGGTCTGCCGTGAGGCCGGTGCTGCAGTCGCCACACACGTCCTAGTTCGAGACCTGAACCTGCAGGCATCCAGGCATGATGAGCGCCGCATCGAGGTGATCGCCAATGGGCTGCCGTTGTGGGGAGGCTCGCAGCTTGCCGTTGACACTACGCTCGTCTCGCCACTTACTTCTGCTGGTGCGCCCCGGCGCCGGCGCGGCAGCACTGCCGGGGCGGCCTTGGCCGAGGCGCGCAGGGCCAAAGAACGTACCTACCCTGAGTTCGCCGACGCCCGTCGGTGTCGCCTGGTTGTCCTCGGTCTTGAAGTTGGTGGTCGCTGGAGTGCCGAAGCTGCCGACTTCCTTCGGTTGCTCGCGCGGGCGCGAGCACGCAGTGCCGCCGCGTCCCAGCGCGCAGCGTGTGTCGCCGCCTTTGTCGCAGCCCTTCCGATTTCCAACACTGCCAATCTCGATGGCGAGGCTCCTCTCTTGAGCGATGTCCTTGCCGACTCGTCGGAGGCGCCTCCTCTCACCTCCCGCATGGGGTGAGCTTCGCTTCGTTCTTAGGAGGTTGGGGGTTTGGTTGGTTCTGGACTTTTGGTTGGTTCCGGTAGCTTGCTGCACTGGGACCGCGCCGGGAGACTTGCAAAAAGGTCCGAGGAAAAAAAAAAAAAAACAATGACACGACGACGAGCAACTCTGCATCATCCGATCTGCATTCGTGCAGGGACACTCATGTGCTTTAGGCCCTCTGCTCCTTCTGTCTTGTCTGATACACCCTTTATGCCCTCTATGCCCTCTACACTGCCTCGAAGAAGGAGGGAGCAACGGCTGCCAGCGCCACTGTGCTTCAGCTCCGCACGCAGAGCGGGCAGAGATTGCAGCGCGAAGGATCGGCAGCAACGGCTGCGGGATGGCTTCATGACCTTGTGTGGAGGCACTGCTTGAGAGATCTGTGTCAGCGGAAGCGATGCTCACAGAGCACTTTCATGGTGTTTCCCCACGTCGCGTGCACCGTCAACTGCAGCCTTCGTGCGCAAGCCGCCGCAGTAAAACCCAAGTCGGGCTGGCGTCTCGCCAGAGTCTCAACGACGCCTCACTGCGGAAGCACAGCGAGGACGCAAAGCTGAAGTTGTTTGGGGTCATCTCACGCCTCCACTCGCTGGCACTCGTCAGGCTGCAAGCGGCGCGAAGGCTTGGAGACTCGGCTGATCTTGGAGTGCAACAGCTCTCATCGTCACTGTCGAAATGCCGATCACGCCCGGCATGACGTCAGGTGTCCTTCGCGCTGCAATCTCTGCCCTCTCTGCGCGCGGAGCTGCGGCACAGTGGCGCTGGCAGCCGTTGCTGCCCGTCCTTCGCGCTGCAATCTCTGCTCTCTCTGCGTGCGGGGCTGCAGCACAGTGGCGCTGGCAGCCGTTGCTCCCTCCTTCTTCGAGGCAGTGTAGAGGGCATAGAGGGCATAGAGGGTGTATCAGACAAAACAGAAGGAGCAGAGGGCCTAAAGCACATGAGTGTCCCTGCACGAATGCAGATCGGATGATGCAGAGTTGCTCGTCGTCGTGTCATTGTTGTTCCACTTCGTTGTGCAAGGTATTTCCTCAATATCAATTCGAGTAGAGTTGCCTTCAGATGCATTTTCGATCATTCCGCTCCCGCCCAAAACCCAACCCTACTGTCAGGCTTTGCGTAGCTCCCTGCGCTGATTTACGCATGAGGCAATCCACGGCTTACCGGGCCTGCCGAGTTCCACGTGCGCTTATGTCACCGACAGCTGTGGCCGCTTGTTGCGAGGAGGCCTCCATGCAGGAGCAGATGCGCAAGGAGAACAGAGGGTGGCATGGGTCCGTGGTGCACGCATTGTGATGGCCTTTTAGCGGAGGGCGGAGCCGCGTGCCCAAACATCCCGTTTGGCATCTTCTGGTGGGAAGCTGGAAGAACGTTGCATGCCGTTGTCCGAGATGAGGCCCCGCGAGAGCGGAACGCACTTCTCGACGCCGCAGCAGCGTGCCACAATTCCACTGAGGTTGGTGTGAAAGAAAGCGTTCTTGTTTTGCTTTCGCTTAACACTTCACCAGAGTCGAGGTTCAGGCGGGGGTTGTTGGGCAAACGATGCAGGAGAGACTCAGTAGACATGTCAAACTGTGGCAAAGCTCGCCGGTCCCAACCTCGGTGTCCCTAAATGCCCGCCGCACGGTCCCCATACAACTGGAGAAGATGTGCAAACTGGTGGGCACACGCAGCAGCACGGCCCCAGTTCCTGTGGCACACCTTGCCTTTGCAATGGATGGACACCTGGAATTGAACTGGCAAGATGCAATCTGCTTCTCTTCCTGCTAGCTGCCACGGAGTCGCTGCTGTCTGCCACGCTGTCAGGCGTTGCTTTGCGAAGGATCGGCAGCAACGGCTGGAAGCGCCACTGTGCTGCACGCAGAGAGGGCAGAGATTGCAGAGCGAAGGCAAAGTCCAGGAGGATTTCTGGACAGCGGGATCGCTTCCTGGCCGTGCGCGGAGGCACTGCTTGAGAGATCTGTGTCAGCAGAAGCGATGTTCACAGAGCACTCTCATGGTTTCTCCGCGTCGCGTGCACCGCCAACTGCAGTCTTCGTGCGCAAGCCGCCGCAGAAAAACCCAAGTCGGGCTGGCGTCTTGCCAGAGTCTCAACGAACGCCTCACAACAGAAGCACAGCGAGGACGCAGAGCTGAAGTTGATGGGGGGTCATCTCACGCATTCACTCGCTGGAACTCGTCAGGCTGCAAGCGGCGCGAAGGCCTGGAGACTCTTTTTTTTTTGGCTTGACTGGGCCTCGTCGACTACGGCTGTAGCACTCGGTCCCTACAATCAAGCGAAGCCAAACTACAAACTACAAACAGGCAAAGCGGTGAGACAGAGAAGCGAAGCTCAAAGGGCTGCGGCGCACAGGCTTTGCCGGTGGTACCCGTTCAGCGTTAAAAACCTAGAAGGCGAACAGCTCTTCAGGTTTAAGGCAAACAAGTTCCAAGCACCTTTGCAAGCAAAGCAAGCTCACAAAACACTCGGACAGTTCACACTTTTAGCACGCACAGCTCACTGCTGGTCTCACGTGTCTTGAGCCAAACGACAGTAGTCGTGGCACCTCTTAAAAGCTCCCAAGCACTACAAAACAAGGGAAAACAGGTTGAGGCTACCGCAAAACCGTCACGCAAGCTCAAACTACGTTCTACAGGCACTGACCACCTGAAACTAGCAAAACTATACAAACTATACAGGTACCGAGGAAAAACTCTGTGTCGCACCTAAAACACTACTGGGCAGAGCACTGGTTTTCTACACCCCCCCACGACGCAGTAGCTGTCGGAGGTACCAGGTGGAGATCCCTTAAACAGTACTCGCAAGCCACTTTGGCAGCGATGCGATTCGGAATCGCGTTCCTGAGGCCGTGGCAGTCCCTACGCACGTGGAAACAGTCTCCGTAAGCAGAAGTAAAGACAGCCATCTTCTGGCCCGACCTTGGCAGAAAAGAAAGAAGTTCCTGCACGGTCTTAACGCGAGAGCTCTCGGTACGCAGCTTCTGCAAGCACACTCCAAGCGCAACACCCACAAGCAGTGGGGCAAGCACAACAACGAGAAGCCCGACACTCGGTACTTCGAGCAGCTTCTCTTAAACTTCCACAACCAGGCCAAACACCATGGCACGCTCGGCAGCGAAAGGAAGCAGAGACATCTTAAACGTCCTGGCAAAGAAAGAAAACACCGGAAAGTTTGAGCAAACGAGCTGCGCAGCAAACATGTAACAACATGTCCTCGACAACGACAAGACTCTCGTAAAAAGTCAAAGGCGCAACGCTTCAAAGAAGGACTTTACAAGCTCTACCGGGTAGTGCTGTGTACTCTTGAGGTCGAAGTCCTTCGAATGCTCATGCTTCCCAGAGCAACGATAGACACGGATGCTCTCAGCAACTGCTGGGTGTGTGGTAACAACACGCCACCGCTTGGCGATAAGAAGATGATCGCGGCCTCGCATGTCAAGCGCACAACCATCTACTGGAACGTCGTGCAAACCGTAGGGGCGTGAAGAAAGAAAATGCTCAGTCTGGCGCCAAGACCAGTAAGCACAAGCACGTGGCCACTCAATGGCCCAAGCATGCACAAAGCTAGTAAGCTCGACCAAGCTTCTCCAGAGCTTCCGGTGAAGCCTCCAGTGCTGAGCCAACCGCCCACGGCGATAGGCTGGATCACGGGCACGCAGCCTCTGATATGGGCAGCCTCCGGTACACGGGGTACTAGCCCACAAGAAGACAAAACCCTTCTTCTTGATCTGTGCAGCAAAGATGGCTTTAAGCTCAAGCAAGGTCTGTGCACTGGCACCATCATCACGCTCACTCACAGTAAGCACATTCACCCAGTTCAGGTCCTGACTAGCCGCTCTCATCGACGACTCAACGGGGGCACAGAACTCAATCACCAACCAAGAGGCATGCGGCATGGCAGCAAAACGGTCACGCAAGCTAACATGGCTCTTTCCAACAAGCATTGCACCGCACAACGTAACAAAGCCATCAAGCACCCCAGCAACAATGGCAACGTCACGCAAGCCAAGCCCCCACATGTGCTTCAAGGTAACAGTCCAACTCAGAGGTTTGGTGAACAAATCTGCAACGTTGGCTTCACCACGCACGCCGAAGATAAAGATCTGCTTTTGCTTGAGCTGGTCTTGGATAAAGCACGCCCTAAGGTCAATGTGCCTCACCTTTCTCAGCCCATCAGCCTTGCTGATAGCAACTGCAGCCTCGCTGTCACAGAAAAGATGGGGCTTTGGCAGATCCTCCCACCCAAAGACATGCGAGATGGCGCGGCGGATAGAGAGGGCCTCCTTCACACCCTCCACAAGTCCATAGAGCTCGCTCTCAGCAGAACTCAAGGCAACAGCCTGTTGCAGACGGCTCCAGGCCTTTAAACAGAAACCTCCCAACATCACGCACCCTCCGCTGATGCTCTTCCTGTCTACGTTCTTCTCGCTACCCCAGGAGGCGTCCACATAGCAATCAAGGCGCAGGTTCTCCTCAGAAACCGGGTTCACTACCTGCTTAAAACCCTGAATATACTTCAAGTAACGCAACATAGTCCTCATAGCTCTCTCGTGCTTCTCAAGCGGATTTGCCTGGCCTCGGGCCAGCATGCTCACGTAGTAAACAACATCCACTCGTGTCATCGCAAGCCATGACAGCCTTCCCAGGGAACTGCGAAACCTCGCAGCAGCTTCAGAAGACAGGGGTTTCTCCAAGCAAGGATCTTCTTTGTCGTACAACTCCTTGAGGTTAGGCGGCGTGCCGCACGCGGTGACCTTGGAGTTCCCGAAGAAACCCTTGTAGATCTCCTCGTAGTAGGAATCGGACATTGACAGGGAGTCACTAGAATGCTCTCGGGCAATCTGTCTTCCAAGGAAGGTGATCTGACCGTCGCGGTCCAGATCGGCTGTGACCTTCACCTTCACAGCGGTCTTCAGCTGCTCCGCCACATGGTAGATAGCTTCATCGCTGTCTCCCGTGATGAGCCTGCAAACAAACAAGCTTCAGTTTCGCATGGCTCCAGGTCACAGAGCTTCTTCAGCAGCTTTGCCAGGTGACGCGACCAGGTCTGAGCTGCAACTCTTAGACCATAGAGGGCCTTCTTTAGGCGCAAGTAGCCGCGGCGTCCGTCCTTACCTTTCACTCCGTCTGGCAGCCTGACCACAATGTGGCCATTTTCTTCGTCGAGGTCCGCAAAGAGAAACGCGGTGCTCACATCCAACCCGACGATGTTCCTCCTCTTGGAACCCGCGTAGAAAAGAAAAGTTCGCAGCGCTTCTGCAGAGCTTGTGGCAGCAGAGATGCCAAGCTGTGCCGCGGTCGCTCCCTGCGCAAAGTCACGAGCAACAACCCGACACCTGACAAGCGGATTCTCCTTTCCCTCAACACGCTCGACTTTGGCATTGGAGACCCACCTTGTAGAGATCACCTTCTGCTTCGGATCAACATGCCACACAACATCACCGACAGCAAGCGACTCAAGAGCACGAAGTTCACGCAACATGCCCTCATAGGTCAAGCCAATATCAAGCAGGTGCCCAGTCACATCATCCTTTGCAGAAGCTGGCACTTCAACAAACAGCTTCTCCCCCCCAAGCTCAACAACCTGAGGAGTAACAACCTTGGTGGCGGCCCCGGCAAAGCAAACCGACGCACCAGTAAAGGAGATGGACTCTCGGTACATCACACTAGACACCATGGCCTCCCGCTCTTCTTCAGGGAGTGCCTCAAGAGGTTCAGGCTCCACTTGCATGAAATCAAGCTCGCCCGGGCTCGGGGCCTCGATCTGCTCGAGTTCTTCTCCAACCTCAATCTCATTCTCAACTCCAGGCAGGCTGGGCTCATACTCGGCCAAATCCTCGTCCACCGGAAAATTCGGGAACGGATCAAGATCATCCGGCACATCAAGCCCAAGATCAACATCAAATCCAGCACCCAAATCATCAAGCCCAGCCGCTTCTTCTTCAATTGGGGCTTGATCGAGGATCGCCCGGCTCGGATCGAAAGAGTTCCGCACAAATTCTGCGTAGCGGTCACGGCATCTTTGGGTGTGCCATGCCTTGTCTGCTGGAAAATCGCGCAGTCGACAAGCTCGGCACCTTGGGGTCCTTCCGTTTTCTTCAATCCACTCTGGTGGTGGTCGTCGGGTTGCGGTGTTCGGCAACGGAAGGTCGCGCACATTGTCACCACTGCTCTCGGGGAGCTTCTTCTGGGCATTATCCCTTCTTCCTGGCAACATGCGACAAACACCTTTCAAGCTCGACACCTCAAAAGTGAGAGGAACCAACATCCGGATTCTTGCGCTTCTCGCAATCTTCAAGGTGCCATCCCGCAGCCTAAACTGCACAATGTGGCTTCCACTCCCGACTTCTGGTCCAAGGTAGGCGGCGTGGCCGTAACGGCCGGTGATCTTGTCACGCAAAGAGGGAGGTGGAGTGGCAAGCACGGCAGCACCCCAAACATAGGCGGCATGCGGTCCTCGGGCGGTCTTCAGGCACCGCTGTTCTGGGGACAGCGCCGATCCAGGATGCACCTGGTACCGGTTGTAGACCTGGGCAACGTGCATCAAAAGATACGTGACACCCTTCCCGCAAGGCTCCAAGCCGACCTGTTCCAACCCAGCACAAAGTGTGTTTGCACCTTCCTTGATGGTTCTCACCGCACGCTCTGCAACAACAGCATGCCGACCAACAGGGGCGTCAACAACTTCGATGGCACCGGCGGTCAAGCCATCAGCAAAACTCTGCGCAAGGTTCTTCACAACACCCTCGATGTCCGACTTCACACTCACCGTCAACTCACTGGGAGCAACACCAACCAAGCCAACGCTACGACTCCATGCCGACATGTCATTCAACATGGCTTCTTTGGCTGCTGGGCCTCGAGATCCGCTCACCTCACGGTACGGAACCACACCGAGGGCAAAAGCACCAACCAAAACCAACACCAGGAAGGCGAGGCCCTTATAGAAAAACTTATCTATTTATCTATTTGCACCTCTCTCATCGCTGAGTCCTGGGGCCGATCCTGGCTTCTGGCGGGTTCAAGTCCACGACCTTGCACGCATTGCGGGCAGGACGCATTGTACGGCACATGCGATCTAAGAACATGTTCTCGCTCTAGCTTACCCCAACTCTCCTGCAACAACAGTTCCCGATCCCCTCTAAGCAACCATGCTTCACTCTGGCTACCATGGGCCTCGCTCCGGTCACGCTGTGGTAGGTCCTGGTCAACATGCTCAAGCAACTCACCATGCTGCACATCATGCTCACCCAAACCACCAACACATGCATGCTCACCAAGCTCAACTTCAAAATCATGCTCACCTGCAAACGCAACCTTTTCTTGCATCAGAAGCGTGAGTCCCAAGGAAGAAGGACCATCGGAGATTCCTGGATGGTGGGCGTCCTCGGAAGATTGGCGGGCGTCCTTGGAGGATCCTTGTAAACCGCTATGGCTCACTCTATCTCGATGCTCTCGAGCTCCACCACCTCGCCCGCCGAGTTGTAGATCTTGCCGTCGTCCCCGATGCGCAGCTCCTCGGCTCTCCTCTCTGCTGGGGTTCCTCGGCTCTCGTCGCTGGGGTGTCCCTGGCCCTTGTCTCCACCGGCACACACAGGTGACCACTCTGAGTGCGCAGAGGGCCCTCGCCCGGCTGACCTCGGATCCCTCGGCGGCGTGGGAAGTCTCCTCCTCGGTGGCACCGGTGGTGGGGGATTGATCTCCACGCCCTCCACCTTGATGATTTCGGGGACCTTTGCTGCACGCGCGCCCTCCACCTTGACCTCCGGGGCCCTTGCTGCTCGCGCTGGCGTAGAAGGAGGGGTCTTCGGCTGTGGCACCGTCGGCGGCCCCGGCGGCCCACGAGGCTCCTTGACGATTTCGGAAATCGTCACGAACGGGATCTCCAGCCCCCTGATCTGAGCGTAGTGGTCCTTGACATGCTTCTCCCAGGTTCTTCTGACCGGCGCGCCCTTCTGCTCCTCGGCCTTTTTCTTCATAGCGTTGTTGATGGCCTTCATGAGGTAGCCCCGCTTCTTCTTCTCCTTGGCCCGCTGCGAAAGCATTCTCAGCGCAGTGTCGGTCTGCCTGGGAATCCCGCGCTGGGCCCGGCTCTTCAAGACGATCTTTCGGACCTTGGCTGGCATTGCCTTCACCATGGGCGGCTTGGGCTGCCTCTTCACCACTGGCTGCGGTGGGTCCTTCGACCCCGAAGACGGCTCCGCCTTTGCTCTGGCCACACTGTGTTTGGGCTTCTTGGCCTCTGTGACCTCGGCCGCTTCGGCGACCCTCTTCTTGGCCTCTGTGGCTGCCTTCTTCTCTGCCTCCGCGGCCTCTGTGGCTGCCTTCTTCTTTGCCTCCGCGGCTTTGCTGGCCAACTTCTCCGCCTCGGCTGCTTTCTTCCTTGCCTCCGTGGCCTCGTCGACCAACTTCTCTGCCTCGGCTGCTTTCTTCTTCCCCTCCGGGGAATCGCTGACCAACTCCACTGCCTCGGCTGCTCTCTTCTTTGCCTCCGTGCCCTCGTTGATCAACTTCTCCGCCTCGGCTGCCTTCTTCTTGGCCTCTGCGGCTTTGGCTGCTCTCTTCTTCTTTGCTTCCTCTGCCTCCTTGGCCCACTGGGCGCTCTCCTGGCGCTCCTTCACGAATTTCTCCGCCGCTGCTTTCGCAGCTGCCTTTGCCTGCTCTGCCGTCTTCTTCTTCACTTCCGCGGCTGGCACCAACAGCAGGTTCTGGCCCGGCGTAAGACCCACCATCGAGGTTGCCGTAAAGGCGACCGTGGATCCCTCGAAATCCTCGTGCGTCCTCGTAACAGTCGCCGCGTGCTGCTCCGCCAGGTGGCGGCGACCCGAAAGGCGCCACTCCTGCTCCGAGTCGGAAGAAGACTCCTCGGGTGCCCGGTTGCTCCTCCCCATCCTTCTTAGAAGGCTTCCCAGACGAAGGAGCACAGCCGTCACTACGCTTCAAGCTCGCTCGGGCGGCAACTGCAACGGAACGGTCAAGCTCAACAGCACTCGAGAAAACCCATCCGCAATTGGAGACCCATCTCGTGCGAAGAACGTACCCAGCGGCCTCAACTTTAAAACTTGGCAGGAAATCCACAACCCAGCTCTTGCCCAGCAAACGCCCTAAGGACAGCAGGTTAAACTTCACAGGAGCAACAAGCACTTGGAGTTCTGTCACCACCGTCTCGCCTGAAACCAAAACGAATGGAACCCTGACAACCGCAGACCTCCGAACTCCAATGCTGTCACCCGTTGCAGAAACACACTCACTGGCAGACTCACTGTGGCTCACAACGTGCACCCGGCTCAAAGTGTCCTCGTTGATGATGTGGGCCGACGCGCCAGAGTCGACGAGCCACCAGTCCATGGTGTCATGCTGCTGGCTGGCTGCTGCTGTCTCGTGCGCTACCATGCCATGGTCAGGTCTACCTACCACATGCAACATGCCATGCTCAACGCCATTTTGAAAATCTGCAACAAAACGACCTGCTTCCAAGCTCAACTCTGGGGACTCTGCAAGCTCGACTGTGGTTCTGTCTGGGACCTGGTGGGACTCTGCAAGCTCGACTGTGGTTCTGTTTGGGACACCGCGGGACTCTGCAAGCTCAACTGTGGCTCTGTTTGGGCTGTCACAAGGAAAATTTTCAAGCGCAACGTGCAACATGGAACCCTCAAGCGCAACCGGCTCACCGCCTTCAAGCACAACAGGCTCCGACCAAGCACACTCATAAGATGCAATGAACTCCTCCCAATCCTCCTGGGAAAAATCCGAGCAATCCTCTTCATCAAGCTCAACAACCGGACAACTCAGATCAACCGCGGCTGCGAAAATCTGAGGCTCCAAAGAGGCAGCCGCAACCTGCGGCTCGAGCAACGCAGCTGCTGAGGCCCTTTCCCTCCTGGGCTTGGGACACTTATTCGAGTAGTGCCCGAACTGGTCACAGTTGTAACACTTGACGTTCTTCAAGCGCTCTGCTTTCTCCTTCTCCTTGTCCTTGTCGCTTCCAGAACCTTGCTTGCCGTCCGTTGCAGCTGCGGTCTTCCCTTTGTCCTTGCCTTTGTCCTTTCCACCTTTCCCTTTTCCTTCCTTTCCTTTCTCCTTCCCTTTCTTGTTGTCCTTTCCTTTGTCCTTTCCTTTTCCTTCCTTTCCTTTGTCACCCTTCTTGCCCTTTCCCTTGTCTTCGAAGGTCAAAGCATTCGCGTGGTCCTTTGCTGCTCCCTTTCCTTCCTTCTCTTGGAAATTCAGGATCTTAAGGTTGGCATCATAAAACTTCAAAGCGGTTTCAAGCTGATCCATGGAGTCAACCCTAGCATGCAAAAGAACATACTTCTTCACTTCAACGTCAAGGTTTCTCAAAACAATCATGCAACGATCTGCCTCACTCAACGCAAGATCTGGGAACCCTGCAGTCAAGCGGGTAAATTTGGCAAGCTCCAACTGGATGTTCCGAAACATGTCAAGTGGACGATTGGCAGGAGTGCTCGCGCGGTACTGCAAGGCCTCATTCCGAAGCGTCGAAGCCTCGATGCGGCTCGCAACAGACAACTCCTGATGCAACCTCCTCATGCACTCATACCCAGCTGGGGAGCCAAGCTGCTCCTTCTCCACTTGCTTAACCAAGTCAAGCCCACGAGCAAACCCTTGCAACGCTTGCTTCAGGTACAAGAAGGTCCTAGTTGAACGCACGCTTTGTCCCTTCTCAAGCGACGACTGCTTGATGGTGACTTCAGAGGCAATCGACCGATGAAGCTCTTCCGGGATCCTATCATCAAAGAGGGCGATCCAAGGCAAAAACTGCTCCAAGAATTCAGCCCACCCCTCGATCTCTGAGCGACGGCCTCTGCTCATCTTCCCACCATCAATTGCATTCCTGATGGGGGCGCCTCCCTCATCAACCTCCATCTTTCCCGACGAAACGGAGATGGAACTAAGCTCTCCACCGTGGCTCTTGCCCCTCGCAGCAGGTGGCGCAGGCATATCCCTGCTCACAAGAGCCTAAGCTGAGCAACCTGCTGCTGCTGCTGCTGCACCGTATGGTCAAGAAACGTCTCCACGGTGGGTTGCGGTGGTGCACCAACTGCGAAACTCCACCAAAACTCCGGCAAACCTGGCGGGGGTGGCAACACACGTCCAAGAGGGTTCGGCGAGCCATTCCCACCACAGGGCTTCCGGTAGGATGCATGCCCCGTTCCAGAGCCGACAAGTTAGACACCGGACTAAAGGCAGCACCCCGAGGCAGACTGCGGCCTCTGGTAAGGTGCAGCATCTGACCTGCTATTCCTTCGGCTCATCTGGTCTATCATTACTTTCAAGCACAACCAAGCAAGCAACATGCCTGAAGTGTATAGGACTCTTTCTTTTGGTTGCAAGGCAACGAGCGTTCACCACGCTCCGCTTCCACGTTAAAAACCTAGAAGGCGAACAGCTCAGGTATGGCAAACAAGTTCCAAGCACCTTTGCAAGCAAAGCAAGAACACTCGCACAGTTACGCTTTCAGCCTTTTTGCATGCACAGTACAAACAAGAAAAACAGGTTGAAGCTACCGCAACGCAAGCTCAAACTACGTTCTACAGGCACCACCACCAGAAAAACTTGCAAAAACTATACAGGTACCAAGAAAAAACTCTGTGTCGCACTAAAAAACACAACTAGGCAGAGCACTCAAACGCACGGTCCAGCTGCCACAAGGACTCGCAAAGGTACTTCCTTCAGAGGCTAGATGATTGGAGTGAGCAAGAGTTTCGGCAGGTGAGACTTTACGCACTGGCAAGCTGGTTGTGCTGCCAACCATGCCAAAAAGAAAACCTATGTTTGCCATTGCGCAACTTAGCAAAGACCCAACGATGTCTGCGGGTTAATTGCTTCGATTGTACAGTTTCTTGGGTTTTTGACGTTATTGCAGTTTTTGCTGGAAGCGAGTGCAGCAACCTGCTGTCATTGAGGTCCACCCACGCCAAGGAAAGTCTTATTAACAATAATATTCGTGATGCATGTTCTGCAGCTCCAACCTTGAATCTGACCCACTCACTGTCTATGCATTGAATTGAGCCATTGTCTGGATCGAGTGCCTGGGTCTGGTCTGTGGATTTAATGTGGTGGATGGGTTTCAGTGGGAGTTCGCTCTGTAAGTCTCTTCGTGGTATTGTGTGTGATGCATTCGAAGTCCGGCAGCTGCTGGTAATTTCAAGATTGAATCTCGAATCTGCTCGCTCCATTCATCGGTCACCGAGATGTGGCAATTTTTACTGCGCCGCGCCCCGCCAATTTCTGCCATGCTTTAGATGTATCCAGACACCGACATCAAAGCAAAACCCTTGACGGCAAGCTTGTTTCCACATTTGGAACTTTCATGCCTCTTCAGAAGATTTTCGTTGTCTTTTTCTTCGCAAAAAAAAAACGTTTTATGACACTGTCGTGTTTTGAACAATTATGTTTGGATTCTGTATGAGTATCTTGCTAAGCCAAGAAAGCACGCAGGAAACTTGCTTGTGTACTGTATCCCCTCAAAGAGGATAACTGCAGAACTGGAAGAAATGCAGCAGATCGCACAGAGTAGAAGTCGCGAGAAAAAAGAAGAAGGAAAAGAGAACTGCCCGGAGAGGCAAGAGAAGTAAGAAAGCCTTGAGAAGGCAAAGCGGAAGCTTGGAAGAAGAAGCAGCGAGTCCTGAAGGTGTCCGGCGCAAATTGGACGAAGCTATGGAAGTGGCAGGAACGATTGAGAATGTTATGTTGCTTGAGAAAAGGACCAAGAGACAGAACGTCTCGAAGCTCTGCAGGAAGAAGAAGAGAAGAGAGCTGAGGTAGAGTCTCGGAAGCGAAAGCTTGAAGATTTGGAGGAGCAAAAGCGGATCTTGGCTGAGGAGTCAAAGAAGAAGCAGCAAGCACTCGAGGAAGAAGAAAAGCGTCTTCGAGCAGTGGAAGAAGCCGAGCGAAAGGCCAGAGAACTCTCGGATGCAAATCGGCAACGGAGTAAGATCAAAGTACCTGAAGCACCTGTGGATGCAGCGGAAGAATGGTACCGTGCCATATGCCGAGAAGTTGTGGATCGTCTCCGTGCAAGGAGAGACGAACAAGTGGAAACCACCCGTGCCGCGGAAAAGGAATGGCTTGGACAATGTACATCCCTTGAGAAAGCCCAGAAGGAGTTCTTGCTTTCTTCGGAACGCCTACAGAAGGCGATGGGAAAGTCGATCCAAGCGGCCATTCGCTACGGAAAGGAGAAAGCTTTGGAGAAATGCCTGGCTGGAATCTATGAGTCAACGACCATGGTTCAAGAACCCGCCGTTAAGGCAATGCCAATGCCGAAGAAGATGCCAAAGCTTCCGGATACAAAGAATCACAAGAGTACTGAAGAGGATAAAGAGAAGAAGAATCGGGATAAAAGAAGATCCGGAAAAGGTAAGAAGCAGCCACCGGAAGAAACTTTTGGAATGGAATGGAGCGAGTGGATCTACGAGGAGGACTGGCCTGTATCAAAGCACCAGCTACGCGAAGGAGAAGAATTCCTCCCGGGATGCGTACCACCGTTCACCAAGGCGTGGACCTACGAAGTTGGAAAGCTCCAGTATTCCCTGGCGATGCGAGGATTTGGAGACAAGGACGGCGAGACCTTGCCCCTCTACAATTTCCCTTGGCAGTTGTCGGGAGAAGGCGACTATGAGGAAATCAACTCTTCTTTGGAGAAGTATATATAGCATACGCCTCATTCCCTCGAAGAGAGAATGTAAAGGAGCTGGACGAAATGGAGGACTCGAAGCATGGTCAATGCACCCAGCAGGAAAAGGGAGATTGGATGTCGAAGCAACGGAAACCTCGCGGGGAAGAACTATCTACGGATCGCTACCTCCAGGAAGAAAGTTGTGCTCGTTGTGTTGGCAGAGCGGACATTGGAAGAAAGGATGCAAGTACAACTCACTCAACTTCCACATGTACGAACCCATGCTCACCATATTGGATCGCAGTCAGAAGCTTCGTCGACTGTATCCGATGCGAGGAATATCGCGACCAGGATCCGAGGAGGATGACAACCCCTACCGAAGGTATTTCCCAATGCTCGCACTTTGCGACTATGGAAGCATGTCCAAGGAAATCTCGAAGGCCAATGAGAAGCACAAGGAAAAGGCCAAGGAAGATGGAGACTACCCTCTTCTATCCCCGGACGAAGTGGACCGGAAAAGGAGAGAAGCAAGTAGTGCCGCGAGTGCAAAGAAGAAGGCTGAGCCGGAAAAGCCCAAGCAGGATATCTGGACGGCCAATGACGTGGTGGACTTGGAAAAAGAAGAAGGTCCCGTGGATGCTACTCCAAGCAAAGAAGAACTTCGAAGGAAGCTTGAAGAACACCACAAGGAGAAGCTGCGCCAGACTTTGGCTTCACGACAAGCCCAGAAAATCATGGATGAAGTGCACGAGGAGCTTGCAGAGAAAGCAAAGAGTGCACCAATCTGGTCACAGTTCAAGGAGACCAAGAAGGCTAAGGAAGCAGTGCCTGAAGCACCAGAGCCTGGTCCAGGACCGGATGAAGCAGGAAGCGACGATAAGATGTCGGATGCGGAGTCGGAAGCCAGCGAAAGTTCCGAACGCGTGGAAGACCCGGAAGAACCGGATTCGTCTGAGCTTGACGAGAAAGCCAAGAAGGAAGAAAGCCAGCGACCTGAGCAGAACGACCCAGCTGGACAGTCGGCTGCAGAAATCGACAAGGAAGATCTGTAGCCTGGCGCTTGAGCTACAAGCAGCACAAGCTGTAATGGCAACCATAGGTTGCGTATCTGTATCTGTATCACTAGTCCTTCAGCTCTTATGGAGCTGCGTATTCGGATCAACTCTTCTCGCAGGAAGAATGCAAAAAGGAGTCACCTGCACTTGTGTGAGAAGGAAAGTGAATCGGATGCATAGTATTCGCTGGAGACGTAAAGTGAGTGGATTCAAGCGGAAAGTCAGAGCAGTTGCGTTTGCCTGTTTGCTTGTCAGGACGGAAGCTATGCAAGGAGGACAACCCTCATCAGCAGCTGGAGTACCTGTACAGGATGGTGTAGACGGCGACGGATTAGGTATGGTACCTACTCAAGATATACTCGGACAATTGGTTCAGAATTCCAGAGTGACAACTGAAGCAATCCATCAGCTAGTTACCTACACTGGAGGACAAGGTAGTCAAGGAAGTTCGTATGAAGGTATACTCTCGAAGGCATTAGAAGGTGCAGTGAAGATGTTGGGTAGACCACCATCGTTCGGTGGAGGTAAAACCGATGCACAAGATTTCATGGATATCAAGGAACAATTGTACAACATTCTTGCGTATGCGGAACCCAAGTATGCGGATGCCTTTAAGAACTTGGAAAGATTGGAAGACCATGAGTCACTACCAGCTACATTTGCGGATGAAACACAGCAAGCTATGTCTACGAAGCTTTACTCGTTACTGAGTTCTTGGTTGACAGGAACCACAAAACAGCATGCACGAGATCCAAGTATTGCTGGATCCAGAAATGGATTTGCTTTTTGGAAGTCATTGCTGAGGATGTATCAACCGAGTACCCGAAGCAGGAGTTTAGCTTTGATGCAAGCAATTCATGGATACCCAAACTTTTCACCCGGACTGAGTGCAGTAGCAGCTAGCACAGATTTCTAAGCTGGAAGAATTGGTCAAGGATTACGAAAGATGTAGTGGATCAAGCTACCCCCGAGAAATTCTTCTGTCTACTCTTCTGAGATGTATTCCTAGTCCCTTGAAAGAGCACATTCACCTTCAGCTTACAGACAAGACTACGTATGCCCGGGTAAAGGAAAGTGTACTTGTCTACGAACGTACAACAAGGAGTTGGATGCCAAATCAAGTATACCAACCTCTGGAGTCAGGACAAGGTCAACCGTACCTAGGAGCTGTGGAAAACGCACCTACTGGTGGAGGACACCAAGCAATGGAAGTGAATCGGGTAGAGTACAAAGGAAAAGGATGGAAAGGAAAAGGTGCAGGAAAA